TGGCCCAGTCTCAACTCCACATCATCCCGCAAACTCACTCTGAGTTTGACTTTTTCTCGGCCCCAATTCCCTGGTGTGCCTCTTTCGGGAACATACTCTCCACCAGAAAGGGCGAGCCATGGAAAATGTTGTTGTCCACATCAGGTGGGCAGAGAAACTACAGTGTTTATGTTAGCGCAGCCCAGGGATAACCAGAGGGGCCTGCTCAGCCGCCCGCCTCCGATCTCTTATGCCTCTGGGGGTTGTGTTTGCGCCCCCAGACTGGCAGCCTTGGGGAGGCTCTTGGGTGTTCCCAATGTTCCACTACGGACCTAAGCCTGCCTGGGCCCGAGGCCTCGCTTCGTGGCTGGGCAAGCTGCGCAATGGAAACTGTGGGCGGGCGGGGCATCCTCTGGTTTGTTGCCAATAGTCCTCGCCAGGGTTTAGCTGCAGGGCCCATTTCCTGCTTCTCTAGCGCTTACTGTTGGGTAGCATTACCCCGTTTGCTTCTATTTCTCTCCCCTCCCTTTCGTTGGGCTTCCTGGGGAAAGCCCAGGGCGCCCAGCTGCTGCACCCCAAGCTGGGAGGGCAGGCAGGACGCCATTTCCTTTGAAATCCTTATGAGGATTAGAGTAAGTGCAGGTATCTTTGTTTTCGTGGAGGTAGGTTGTGGCTGCTGCCTGAAGTTGTTTTTTAACTTTTTCTGGAAATAGGTGAGAATATTTGCTGCAAGTGAAGGAGATTTGAAATTGCTGCTGGAAAGGGGAGGAGAGTGAGCACAGATGTAGGCCATGAATTTGTAATGTTCAGTTTGGAAAATCCAATGCCTTGTCTTTAGCAATCCTTGGTAAACCAAAGGTAGGCTTAGAAATCCAAGCAATCTGCTGATACTGGTGATCTCTCTGCTCAGCTAATCTGTGAGGCCACTTGATACCAACCGTGAGAGAAACTGTGTCATTCAGGATGGTTAAGTGAGTCTGGAAGGCCCCGAGGTCTGACTTACACAGAAGTACGGCAGAGGATGGGCAACTATTGCCAGAAACCTGGTGATGTCCCATTGATGACCGACTTCTACAAATACAAGGTCATGGAGCCTGACCCCTCTGCTTAACACAAGAAAAATGGACTCCCTCGGAGGCCAGATGGGAATCACCATCTCTTCCAGTGGGACTGTATCTGTCCAGAGACACCCGTCACGATGTGCCAGTTAAAATGCTTTCAAACTGAGGGAACAGACAACCCGATTAAAACAGCTCTTAGAAACAGGAAATCCAATCCAAAGATAATTGAAAAAGACCATTGTAGGGTGATGATTGAATGTGGGTCAGTCACAGCTCCAAATCTGGTTCTTTACACTGTGTCCCCTACAGGTGTCAGTTTATTCCCAGGCTGGGAGCAAGGTGACTGTAGCAGTTCCAAGCCTCATATCTCTGCACAAGATCAAGAGAAAAGAAGAGACCCTCTTAAAATTTAAGACATTTATTTCTCAGAAGCCCCCCAGAATGTTTCCACTGGGTTACATGGACATTCCAGGGGGAAAAAAAATGCTTGTCAAGGGTTCCTTTTATACACTGGCCCATCCCCTTTCCAGAACATAGCATACTATGAGGAAGGATTGGCTTTATTTTTTTAAAAAATCCGCCCTGACCAGATAGAGCATCAGCCTGCGGACTGAAGGGTCCCAGGTTCGATTCCGGTCAAGGGCATGTACCTGGGTTGCTGGCACATCTCCAGTAGGGGGCGTGCAGGAGGCAGCTGATCGATGTTTCTCTTTCATAGATGTTCCTAACTCTCTATCCCTCTCCCTTCCTCTCTGTAAAAAAATCAATAAAATATGTTTTTAAAAAAAATCCACTGGGCCAGCGTGGCTCAGTGGTTGAGCATCAACCTATGATCCAGGAGGTCCCGGTTCTATTCCTGTTTCAAGCTAATCCCCAGTGGGGGGCATGCAGGAGGCAGCCAATCAATGATTCTCCCTCATCATTGATGTTTCTATCTCTCTCGCCCTCTCCCTCTAAAATCAATATATATATATACTGATATACACTAATAAAAGAGAAACATGGTAATTGGCGTACGACCGCTACCCTTCCCATTGGCTAATCAGCATATCCTTATGCAAATTAACTGTCAGCCAAGATGGCGGCCAGCAGCCAGGCAGCTGGAAGCAAGCAGGGAGGCTCGCTTGTTCCAGTGACTGCAGACTCCAACGTTCCCCACCTGACTTGCCGGCCTCTGAGCTGCAACTCTAAGAAACATTGTAACAAATATAGAAGCTAAACAAAACCCCAGAAACCAGCTTTCAGCCGGCCGGGATCTCAGAGCTGGAGTTATACATTGTTTCGATTATAGAACGCAAACAAACCAGATACCTGCTTTCAGCAGCGGAAGCCTCAGAGCTAGAGCCAGAGCTAAAGTTGGCCCAGAATAAAAAGAAAAAAAAGAAAAAAAGGAGCAGTTGGGAGCTTCAGTCAACAACCGCCAGCCTGAAAGCAGCCCTCAGCCCCTCACCCAGACTGGCCAGGCACCCCAGTGGGGACCCCCACCCTGAAGGGGGTGTGACCAGCTGCAAACAGCCATCATCCCCTCATCCAGGCTGGCCAGGCACCCCAGTGGGGACCCCCACCCTGATCCAGGACACCCTTCAGGGCAAACCAGCCAGCCCCTACCCATGCACCAGGCCTCTATCCTATATAGTAAAAGGGTAATATGCCTCCCAGCACCGGGATCAGCGGAGCAGCGAGGCTCCCGGCACCGGGATCAGCGTGACAGGGGGCAGCGCCCAAACCCCCTGATCGCCCTGCAGCTCTGTGTGTGACAGGGGGCGGGGCCACAACCTCCCTATCCGCCCTGCTCTGTTCGTGACAGGGGAAGGCACCCCAACCCCCTGATCTGCCCTGCTCTGTGCCTGATAGGGGGGAGCTCCCCAATCCCCTGATTGCCCTGCGGCTCTGTGTTTGACAGGGGGCAGGGCCACAACCTCCCTATCCGCCCTGCTCTGTTCCTGACAGGGGAAGGCACCCCAACCCCCTGATCTGCCCTGCTCTGTGCCTGATAGGGGGGAGCTCCCCAATCCCCTGATTGCCCTGCGGCTCTGTGTTTGACAGGGGGCAGGGCCACAACCTCCCTATCCGCCCTGCTCTGTTCGTGACAGGGGAAGGCACCCCAACCCCCTGATCTGCCCTGCTCTGTGCCTGATAGGGGGGAGCTCCCCAATCCCCTGATTGCCCTGCGGCTCTGTGTTTGACAGGGGGCAGGGCCACAACCTCCCTATCCGCCCTGCTCTGTTCGTGACAGGGGAAGGCACCCCAACCCCCTGATCTGCCCTGCTCTTTTGTGCACCGGGCCTCTAGTATATATATAAAAGCCATTGCACCTTTCATAGGGCTGGACCTGCCTGCATATTACATATCTGTCTCTGTCTCTGCCTGATTCAAGAACAGTTGGCTGCTCCCTTGACTTAAGTGAGAGGAGGGAAAAGGAAAAGGGACAGATAAGGTTCCAGTGCCTTGGATGGTATCATAATGAACAAAGAGGCAGAGACACTACAGTTCTTTTTTTTAAAATATATTTTTATTGATTTCAGAGAGGAAAGAAGAGGGAGGGAGAGATAGATAGAAACATCAATAATGAGAGAAAATCATTGATCGGCTCCTGCACGCTCCACACTGGGGATCAAGCCTGCAACCCAGGCATGTGTCCTGACTGGGAATCGAACTGTGATCTCCGGTTCATAGGTCGACACTTAACCACTGAGCCACGCAGGCTGGGGGACACTGCAGTTCTTAACATCATTCCTGGGGGCAGGGCCAGGTGGGGTGGGGAAATGAGCATGTGCCTTCAGGGCTTTCCTGGGGTAACAGTACTTGACCCTGTGACAGGTAGTGAAACGTGTATTATATCCCATAGAAGCTCATGGGAGTGTTTGGGTTTTAGAGTCAGTGTATGCTCCCCCTTGGAGTTCTTATACACTCCATATCTTGGGTTATCCAAAAGACCACATACTTTTAATGGATTCAGGGTGAGAAGGCTAAAAAGGGCTAATTCAAATGTAATCCTGATATTTGGGGGGCTAGCAATTGGAATCCATGCCAGCAAGCTAACCTATAATTAAGTCATTACCTCCTTCCCAGAAACTGGTCTTGCAGAATCTGTTACAGAGGCAATAAACCTGTGAACAGTGCACTGCCCAGAGGGAGGGGTGTTATTGCTGGCACCAGGCCAGGCCATCAGATATGGCCTGGAGACCCCCAACACCTGAGGGCCTCTTGCAAAGCCCACAAAAAGGACCGGAAGCATAATCCATATTTGCGGGACAAAGACCACAGGGAGATATAAAATGAAGGTCCCTGCAGGTTTCGGTACTCTGATTTGGAAATTATTTCCCGGAGTCCGCCGGTGTAATTAAAACAGTGTCTCTCCACTTCTTCAAAGAGTCGCTTGGTTTTTCTGGGATCTTCTGC